GCTCGCCTTCGTGGGTGATCATATAATGAACGACGTTCATCAAAAGCTCAAGGTGTCATTTTGTCGAACGTCCTCTGCCGCACAGCTTTGATTAATACCATATACCGAAGGACCTCCTGTGGATACCCCAATTCCGCTTCGCACGTCTTCTACAGGTTGCGGTGACACATGGACAGAAAGAATCGACCCCTGTAATAACGGCTGCCTGAAAAATGCCTATTCCTCAGAATCATTTCGTGTTCTTTCGTCTCATTGCCCATTCTATCGCTTCTTCCGTTTCGTTCTCATTATCGATTTCTTATCTAAACGAGGGCTTAGTTTTCCCACTCCCTGACACGTGAATGGACATGCAGACACATACACATCGCTCACCCGTATGACTTCAACCACACGAGTTCTCTTGTGACCTTCATTGACCCTTATTACTGGTTGACCTATGTTCCGTCTGTCCTCGCTCTGCACCGGTTCACCGCTTATCATTTATCGATTATTTAACCACCCACGCACATGTGACCTGTTCTAACTTGTGCTTCTCGTTGGGAGTCACTTGTTCATGTACACACACGTGCATGCAGGCACACTTGTCGTTGTTTGTTGAGAAGTCGAATTGTGTGCGCCCAACTCTCTTATGATCTAAGGTGATTGGGTCATCCTTTGGGAGCTTCATGTCACTGCCTGATTGAACTCCGCAAACTTTGGTCAGATTCTCTCCGTGACACAGCGGTGAGCCATCCCCTTTTGGAGCACCTTGATAGTAAGATGTATTTCGGCACAGCGGAGCGCTATCATATTCCCATTTGACACATATAGCTCGAAGTGCCTTGACGATTGTCCTAACCTAAATACCTCACGAATCAAGGTTTTTATGTTATTTATCATGTCATTAATTGATTCGTATTAATATTACCGTATATCTAGACAGTCTTGGTTTTCACTGCGTTGGAACCGAGATTTAGCCCGTCACTTGTGGCCAGGTTTAGCACAGGAAGGCAGTCCATTCTAATTACGCAGAAAACGAATCAACAACACCACGTCTGCGGCCATACTGTATGCCAAACGAATCTTAGTACAACAACTTTTCTACGATTTGCATGAGGGCCCAATACCGCCAGGTTTCCCAGGCCAAGGCAGGAGCCTTCAGATAGCTACAGCCTGACCCGCAAAGCAGCGGGGCCTTGTGTGAAAACCGCAATCCATTGAGGCCGGTGTCCAGTTCATCAGATCATACACCTTTCGGACGGGGTCAAACATCCAAGGTGCTCAATACATCTCGATACCCAATCGAGCTGACGTGTGGTTCGTACGCTTCCTCATGGTTGGTTTGGAATCGGGGTTTTTGGCCAGTTCCGCCAAGTGAACTACCAGTGGTCCACCAACCCGGTTATAGCCCCGGATATTGGTTTTTTATCCTCGCACTTTGATGGGAAAACAACTCCGCCACGAGGAAGCAATGAGTAGGGCTTCCTCAACAGAGGCTATTAGAGGCGCTTGGTCGTATGGGAGCATTTCGCGAGGTGCAAAGGAAAGGGTGGCCAGGGGCAACCCTAGACACCCCTCCCCGATCATACTGAGGCTTTCGGAGGCACAAATGCCCATGTGGTTGGTCCAATAAAGGACGTAACACAGTCGTCGTGCTAAATCTAGGGGGGGGGGGGGNTGGACACATCATTGACCCACTTTTGTCGATCAAGCCGTTATTCCGTAACATGAACTCTAGGCTCTTTGTGATTAACGAAGCGAGGTAATCAAGGTAAGTAATCCAGTTTTGTGCACATAAAGGTTTCTGACGCAGTCATTCAAATTGCCGTGGAACTGTTTTTTCCTCCCCACGCTTCCTTGACTATCCATTGAACCCATGTAGTTACCAAAGCTTTCTGTTGTAATTACCAGATTTTTACATTATAATAACTGAAGAAACTAAAAGAAAAATTGAAATCTCGCAGTATTTTTCTGCTCTGTGTTTAAATTAGTTCGTAAGCTACTGTAGCTGTGCTTTATCTTTGATGCTGGATACATCAATTTCCCTGAAGAGACCCATTTGAAACATGAAAGCAAGAAAACAAATTTTTATTGCTATATGCCGGAAATTGACACGTTCATACTTCTAGACAGATTCCAAACTGAACATGGTACGAGCCCATGGAAGGCTGCTTTTCTCAACCGAAAGGATACGAATGCAAACCAATCTGTTTTTAATCATACACACTATGATTAAACGTATCACAGTCACATGATCTACCTCTTCTCAAGGTTGACATTGTCAGTAAGTGAATGGCTTGTGTATCAACCAATCGAATGAAGACACCATCCTAGATTGATCAGTTGATTCGTGAATTAGTTCTGACCACCTACGCGCGCTCAAAAGCACACGTGTAGCGCACCAGGTTAATTCTTGAGTTTGTTCTGTTTGCTCTCAAAGACCCAGAACTTCTCGTTTTGAAGTGTACGGTCCGCAAAATAAAATTGGCACTGACTGGTAGTAAGGTGGGTTAACTTGTTTAACAGTATGTCCTTTTTGTTACGAAATCGAGTTAAGTTATTAATCGGCTCAAATAGTAAGCGGGAGCGTGATTTAATGAATAGGTCTTTTTGCTCAAATCGTTGATGACAAAACGTGATCAATAGTTATTTGGTAGAGGAAGAATCATGTGGTATAAATTTTGTTAAAAATTGTGAAATGGTTGATGCCACCTTGTTGTCTATCTCGCTGCTTTTTCACATGTAATTTGTGTTGATTTGCTTTGAACCAGAAACATATATTTTCGATCATTAAATAATTTTGNNTCAGACGGTAAGGAAGGAACCAATACTAAGAAGACTAGTGGCTTCACGACGGTCATCGGCAAATGCACAGTAAATGAGGACGAAAAGATTCTATTGAGGGTACCTACTAACATGGTATGAAGTAAATCCGGATTCTCGATAACTGGTTTGCCACAGATGGGTCAGTTTGGGGGTATACTCAGAACATCTATTTAGATTACAACCTCTAAACATCTTATGCATTTTTTCACATTATTACCCTGACATCAGGTTCGCGGTGTAATTCCATTCAAGCACGTTAATCCGCAGAGAATCACGATTAACGCGCTTGTAGTATTAAGTTTTGAAGAAGACCAGTAAATTACAACAAATTTAATGTCCGAAGCATAATTGCCGTTTCCAAGATGAGGACTCAGACTATCTTTGTCGTTGTGGCAGACGTGAACGGGAATGGACCTATCAAGCTCTCCGATTTTCCCGCCAGAAGGGGAATGGTAATAAAGTACAGAAAACATCAATAATTGGAACGTAAACATCAAGAACGCAACTTGGTTTAGATATAAAGAACGCCCATGCAATAGAATGTGCGTCCGGAAATGAAACCTCCCGGTTTTGCAATTTTATCGTCAAGCAAATAGTTGCGTTTTAGGTAGTCTGATTCGATATTGTGAAAAGGAACAATTTTATAAAAAAAAGTGTGAAAAAGTCAAGGAAATAAATTGCTCATGATCTACTTGTCTAGTTCGACTTTCGTAACGAATGAACCAAGAGCTTAGAACGATCCAAGTTGTATCCATTTGGATCAAGGTATGGCTGAAGAAGTTGGTGCTTGACAGACGCAATCCGTGGCTTGAGCGAGTTTTTAAGTGAGCTGTTTCTGTTGTCCACACGGTTGGCTGTGATTATATGAGGGTGACTTGGGTATCTTTCTGATTTGTCCAGGGATCCCACTTGAGCACTGAAGTTGTCGGTGACTACTATGATTTCCGAAGTCGAGAAACTGGTCACTATAGACATCATCCTCTTTTTGAGACGCATGCAGTTAGTCATTAGAAAACACCCAACGACCACCGACGCTTTGTTCTGTTTCTGTTGGCCCCTACTGAACCATTGAAACGTACAGCACACAGTAGGCTACTGATCGGAATCCAGTTAAAAAGGGTGCTCTTGACCTTGAC